GTTGAACTGTTTACCAAATTAACACTAAACAGAAATCTCACCCCATCCCCTTCCTACATGTTCAATTTACAGCCCTTTTGTTCATCCAAATCGATTCCCAAACAAACCACTACAGTCTCATCAACCACACATATCAGTTCATAACATCCAACATGCTTAAAATATAAAATACAATCCAACAACACATCAGTTCAACAGTCAACATGTATACCCATTTATAAAACAGATTCAAACAAAACAAATTTAAAAATTATAACTAGTTCCCCTTACCTTGTAACAACAGTACAACTCAGTTCACAACAAGACCTCAACAGTGCCTTACACAGCCAGCACACACCCAGACTCTACAACCCACTAAAGTGGAGACAAAAACAACTCTTAGAGATAGAATAGGCAGAGAATCTAAAGGGGAAAACTACTGGCTACATGCAACTAGCAAAATTGCATGCCCTAGGTTCAAGAGAAATGGAGAAACAGAAAAGAATGACTTACCCGCCCAAGACAGAAATTAATCAGATGGATGGGAAGCTCTCGACTCCGGGAACGCATGAACACCACCTATTTGACAATGCAACGGTTGAAATTTGTGAAAGGGTAAGAAGAAGGCAGAACAAAAAGAAGAAGAACAGAGTTTAGAGAGAGGTTGGGGTTTAGGCCAATGAACCAGACATCTTAAAAAAAAATTCTACTTTTAATGGTCAGTGCACTTTAATATGAAGGGTCTAGTCTCATTAGCTTAAAACACTCCTCAACCCTTCCCTTATTTTTCAGGACATTACACATAGCATAATGACAAATTTAGTTGTCTGGAGTGTTAAAAAAAGATATTAATAAATATTATATGATCAGTGAATCTTATTTAAAAGATGTTTAACATCACATTATATTTAATAAAAGATTAAATATCATCAATACTTAATTTAATAATATTTAACAAATAACAAACGTTATTTTTTACTTAAATGTTTACAGGAAGAATGATTTTTCTTTTGTTAATCTTATATAACTTATTCAACCAGGAGAAAAGCCAGAATGGAGAGTTGTCATAGATTAATTTTTTTATATTGGTTTATTTAAATTCAAGAATAATTAGAACGCAGTTAAATCACCAATATTACCACTAATAATTAATTCTAATTTTCACTTTTCCTATTTGTTTATAAATTTTAATATTTAATTTATTTTTATCCGTTCATTATTTTTTTTATTATATCCTAATTTTAGAATATAACTCCTCCAAAATTAAATTAGATTAATACATAGTATTAGGCATAAAAAACACATAAGTATATAAAATATATCATTATTCATGAAACATAGGATAATTCTCAAGATATATAAAATTTCTCATTATACACAAAAGAGTTATATAATATAAAATTATATATCTACGCAACAATTATTTTTCGACAAACTATCAATCATCATCTTACTCATATCTCCAACTTGCACTATCCTCCACTCACGTATAACATACGATCATTGGAGGTGGATAAACCACAATTAAACACAAAAAATAGAATAAACTATAGATAATTTAAAACTTATCATTTTTAAATATAAAAAAGTATACATTTAGAAATTGAAAAAATAACTACAATGCTTTGACAAATCATAAAATCAACATTCAATCATAAAGGTTTTCATAGCCTACTCATATACTAAGAACCATAGACATAACCTCCAAATGAGTGGTGTATTGACTATCACCCTAAGACTTGCACCTGTCATTACTCAATCACTCATATCTCTCAAGAGCTATAATTATAACGTGTATAGGTCACTTCCCAATCCACAAGATCCAATTATCACAGTAAATATTCATATGCTTAGGACTAGCTGTTAAAAGTTTAGTTCGATCCAATGGTTAACGAAGCAAAAATTCAAATTTTTCAGAGATGACTCAGAGTAGGCAAACCCAATTCATCCAACAAGAAGTTGGCTCGTCTAGTGAGAAAGCCTTCCCTACCTCTCTACTAAACCCAGATTGGCACTTGCTCAACGAGTAGTTGACTCGCCCAATAAGTTTGCACAACTTAGAAATCATGACAAATTTGTGAATCTATTTTCTTGGCTTCAAGGGGTACTTTTATGCATTTTCACATATCAAAACTAGTGTTTCCAGTTAAAATATACCATCTGATACCAATATAGTCAAATTTACCAATCTTTAAAGTCAAACCATCATCAATCACAATTTCACACATAAAGATTTTAACATAACTCTAATGAATGATAAATATGTTCTTTTAGTCTCACAAAGTGTTTTTCTTTTCTCTTTACAAATCATAGTCAATTCCAACTTATTAGATGCACTATTTGAACCCAATTGAGTCAAATTTATCAATCTTAGAGACAAGAACACTAACAAATCAAAATTTCACATATGTAACTCTAATAACACTATCAAATAAGCCAAACACAACCTACAATTCTTCAAACCAACCAATTTATCTTATTTAACAATTTTAATTACTTCAAACAAATTAATACTACAATTCCATACATCACGCACCATCATCATATAATTCACATTTCATTAATTATTAGTAAGAATTAAACTAAAACTAGTTTTCCTTAGTTGGTGAGAGAATATCCTTGACTCAAAGTTGCTCTTAGTGCTTTAGTTCTAACAAGATACTCTAGTTACCTACACAAATATCAGATTACATATCTAAACATATAATTACGACCACAACTAAACAAAGATTCAATTTGAGCTATTTTAAGCCTCAAAATACTAAACTAATTCAAAAATAGAACAAAAAAATGAACTTACTAAGTTTGAGATTCTTATCGATCATAATTGTAGACCTCTTTATCGTAAACCCACTGATGGTCTTTGATCGTCATACAAACGAGACACAAACTTAATAATTTAGAAAGAAGGCATAGGAAGTTCTAGAAAAAAAGTTTTCTAAAGATACTGATTTTTTATAAAATAAAACTCAATTAATGTCAAATCTATTTATTGTTGAACATTTTATAAATAAAATAATCAAGTGTTATTATTAAAAACATTACTAATATTAAACTATTTCCTAGGTTCTTAAGGTATTTTTTAAGTGAAATTAATATTTCTTTTTGAATTATTAGAACATTTTTAAATACCTCACCCAACTGCTACATTTTTAAACGGATCTTTCATTACATTCCTAATTGTTTTTTATTATTTTAGTTCTTAAAATGGTGAAAACACGTTATATTTGTAATATTTCTTGGATTGAAGACTGTAACATTATAAAATGGAAGAGATGAATAATAAAAGGAGGTGGATTTGAAATGAATTTGAGTATATTTGAGAAAAAAAATGAGGTAAACGTGAAGTTGATTGAATTAAGAGAAAAATGGTATAATTTAAGAAGATTTGAGATAAAAATTTGTGTATAATTTAATGGATACGATAGATTAAAAAAATATGTTTTAATAGATAATATTAAATGATTCTATTTGACTCTTAAGATAAATGTCATATAAATTTAAGTATAAATAATGGAAATTATGTTAAAATAAAATTGAAGTTACTATTATAATTATTAGTATTATTATTAAAATAATAATTACATTACTATCATTATTATTATTATTGAACAGAAAAACTATAGAAGTAATCGAATAAAAGAAATAAAACAATAGAATCAACAGAATAAAAACTACATAAGCACAAAAAAACAAACAAACTGGGTAATAAGAGGGGAAACAGTGAAGAATTGATTTCCTTGGCTGCCCAAAACCAATTCTTTGTATTCAAAAGGGGAGAATCGATTCTTCCCTCCTTAAACCGCATTCTGCTTCTCCCAAAATCTATGAAATATGCACTGCATAGGGTTTTATTGTTTTATTTTTTTTCCTCACATTCATCACCACCAAGGAGCAACACCAAAGACTACCAATTGATTCTCGCGGAAGAAACAATGGTTTCTGGCTGAAGAAAGAGTAAATTCTTGAAGATGGGAATCGGTTTTCTCCAGAAATATCTGACTATGTGCATGACAAATACTTTAAAAAGTTAAAGAAAAATTCACTTTCTACTAATACAGGAAAAAGTTAAAAAATTTCACTTTCTACCCTAAAAATCATAGGATCATAACCGACATTTTATGTGAATGACCTGTCTTTCCTTCACAATCTTCTCATTTGGGTGAAAGCTCTCGCGAGCTTCATCTGCAGATCCTCACTTTCATTATCATTCAAGTCAATGAAACTACACGCATGATGCACTTGCTTTTCTTCACTTACTAACAGTACATCACCGGAACCAAACATATAAAGAATGTATAAAGAAATTCAAGACAAAAAAATGGATAATTAAAAATCAAAAGATTGAAATTGTGAGTAAAAGGCACAAGACCATAAATTATAAGTTGAAACATACAATGAAGATTTGATTTTAATAGTAATTTTTTGTAATTGTAAACATCTTTACAATTATATTTATAATTACTAATAAAGTTTTAAGTAAAAGTTACTAATAATTTCAGACATGTTTGAAAAATGGTGTCATCTGACATAAATGATTTTTGTTTTCTTTTACAAAAGCAATTTATTAAAATATTTGGTAATGAATAATGCCACAAAGTCAATAAGATGTTCAGACTTAGTTCAAGGCAGCTTCGTGGATATTGCACGCTGCTTGGATCAATTGTGTGATCTTCTGTTAGGTTCTTTTAGGCAAAGAGCCGTAACAGATAATTCTCCCTTCTCACAACACTCAAACAATAACCAAGAAATTAAATGTATGAGTATTTCATTAATTCTGTAAAGTATGTCAAACAGAATGACAAGTAAGAATCCCAAGGAAGCCTCCCTTCCTCCACTGGAAAATGTCCAGTCTAATTTCCCAAGAGTAAAATATCTCATAAAAAAAACCCCTCTCCACTTATTCTACTACTATTTATACTATCTTGCCCCTCTAACAAACTTCTAACAGACTTTCCCTCTTAACTTCCTTTCCCGCCTTTATTTCTCCTAACATACACTTTTATTCCTCTATCATCTTCTCTTATTGTTTGACCCATTACAGCACCTACCGATTCCTTCACAATCTTCACAACAAGTTCCATTTTTTACTTCTGAAAGTAAAGGGTGTTACATAGGTACCATCATGACACAGCTACCATCATTATCACGTTCTTCTTCTTCTTCTTCCACTTGTGAAGGGACCCATGATGTGTTCCTCAGTTTCAGAGGCGATGACACTCGAAGTGGCTTCACTGGCAACCTATACAAGTCTCTTTGTGACAGGGGAATTCACACCTTCATAGATGATGAGGGACTTAGAAAAGGGGAAGAGATTAGACCTGCTCTTTTCAAGGCTATTGAGCAGTCTAGAATTGCCATTGTTGTTTTCTCTGAAAATTATGCTGACTCAACTTACTGTCTTGAAGAACTTGTCGTGATCCTTGAGTGCATAATGAGAAAGGGGCGATTGGTTTGGCCAGTGTTTTACGGGGTTACTCCATCTTCTGTGCGGTTTCAGAAGGGTTCTTATGGGAAAGCATTGGCCAAGCATGGAGAAAGATTCAAGAATGACCAGGAGAAGCTGCAAAAATGGAAGCTAGCTCTTCAAGTAGCTGCTGGTTTGTCCGGTTCGCATTTCAAGCTCAAACAAGGGTACTCAGCTGTTTTTGATTCTTACAAATGTTGATTCTGTTGTTCTTTCTTTTCTTTCTTTTAGTTTTCTGATATCCTTCAATATAATCGGGAAACAAAAATTCAGGAAAAGAAGTTCATAAGTCATAATATAATCCTTCACAAAGATAAACTGAGATTTGAATTTGTGAAAGAAACTGGGCAAGAATTTGATGCATTTTGGTAACTTCATATGTATTTTGTATTTGGGTAGGTATGAACATGAACTTATTCGGACAATTGTTGAAGAGGTTTCCAAAAAGATAAATCGTAGCCCTTTACACGTGGCTAATTATCCAATTGGATTGGAGTCTAGAGTGCAAGAACTGAAGTTACTTTTGGATGTTGGATCTAATTGGGGAGTAAGCATGGTTGGGATTTTTGGAATCGGGGGAATAGGTAAGACTGCAATTGCATGTGCAGTGTACAATGCCATTGCTGATAAATTTGATGTTCAGTGTTTCCTTGGTGATATTAGACAAAAATCAATGAAGTATGACTTAGTACAACTTCAGGAGACAGTACTTTCTGAAATGGTTGGCGAGAAAAGTATCAAGTTGGGGAGTATTAATAGGGGAATGGCAGTTATGAAAAGCAAGCTTCAAAGAAAGAAAGTTCTTTTGATTCTTGATGATGTTGATAAATTGGAGCAATTAAAGGCACTTGCTGGTGATCCTTCCTGGTTTGGTGATGGCAGCAAAATCATTGTCACGACAAGGAACAGACGTTTTTTACGAGTACATGGTGTTGAAAGAACATACGAAGCCAAAGGGTTGGATGATAAAGAAGCTCTTGAGTTGTTTAGTTGGCATGCTTTTAAAAGCAATGAAGTTGGTCCAGGTTACTTGGATATCTCTAAGCGTGCAGTATTTCATTGCAATGGCCTTCCATTGGCTTTAGAAATAATAGGTTCTAACTTGAATGGTATAACAATGTCTGAATGGGAAGCCGCATTAGATACCATTGAAAGAATTCCAGATGAAGATATTCAAGAAAAACTAAAAGTAAGCTACGATGGTTTGAAGGGAAATGAAAAGGAAGTTTTCCTTGACATGGCTTGTTTCTTTAGAGGCTACCATTTGAAAGATGTCATAAATTTATTGCTCCAAAGTCGTGGTTTCTCACCCGAGTATGTTATTCGCATGTTGGTAGATAAATCTCTCATAAAAATCGATCAATATGGTTTTGTGCAAATGCATAACTTGGTAGAGGACATGGGCAGAGAAATAGTAAGGCAAGAATCACCATCAGAGCCTGGAAAACGCAGTAGATTATGGCTTTATGAGGATATTGTTGATGTTTTAGAAAATGACAAGGTACGTGTACTGTTATGTTTTTCTGTTGGTTATTTGAAAATATAGAATGCTGGAATGAGTGAAACTATAACATATAGACTGTAGTGTACGTATTTTATTGAGCAACATTGCAGGTTTTTATACAGCAAATAACTGACAGAAAGATGATAGCATAACAACTAGCAAACTAGTGCCTAAAAAATAGCAGATAAAACAACTTTATCCTATCAGTCAACCCGACTTTTATTTTCCTAAAGAATAGCATAAAATCTGATTTTCAGGTTGTTAATTTCCAATAGTCATTCAATCAACATTCCTCCTAGACCTTGAAACTGCAAACTCCAAGTTTTTGCCTAAAGAATTCAAATTTGGATTTTGGAAGTGCCTTAGTTAGGATATCTGCTACTTGATTTTCTGTTTTATAGTAGATTAGCGTCACTTGTCCTCTTTGAACCTCTCTTAGAAGAAAAAGCTGTCTTAAAATGCTTTGTTTTGCCATGAAAAACTGGATTATTGGCAATTGAAATTGCAGCCTGGTTGTCCACTGCTATCTTCTTGTTCCATATGAAAATCTGTCATGATTTTCATTGTCCAAAGAGTTCTATTTAGAGCAGCAGCAGCATCCGCTGTTGATTGGGCTATAACTGAACACCATGAGAATCAGTAACCAGATAGGGGCTTCTCATGTCATCAACACATGCCCAATCATTATCCAAATAACCATGAAAAACTTAAACTTTCAACTTATTGAATTCTTGAGGTAAAAGGAACATTGTAATCCTCTTTCACGGCTTCCTAAAGATCCAAAGTCTCTAGGTAGTTTTCCATTTTCATGGCCCATCGGTCCTAGCTTTCTCCATCAAGAATAGGAGGAGCAACTAGGGAGAAACTTATTTCAGCTTCCATTTTTCAGGTCTCATAATATGATAGCTCTTGATACCAATTTGTTGGTTATTTGAAAATATAGACTGCTGGAATGAGTGGAACTATAAGATACGGACTGCAGAATGCGTATTTTAATAAGCAACATTGCAGGTTTCTATACAGCAAATAACTGAAAGAAAGATGCTATGCTAGCATAACAACTAACAAACTAGTGCCTAAAAAATAGCAGATAAAGCAACTTTATCAGTCAACATGACTTTTATTTTCCTAAAGAATAGCATAAAATCTGATCTGCAGTTTGTTAATTTCTAATAGTCATTCAATCACTTAGACAAAATTGTTTTGACAAGTATGCTATAGGGCCATGATTCTTAACTTATTTTTTGAAGGTGTATTCATAAAATTGGTTAATAATTGGACAATTTGCTTTACGACTTGGAAACTTGTCTAAATTTGTACATGATATTCTCGACAACTAATAACTTGCTTATATTCTTTTGACCGAAAAGGGAAGTGATACAATTGAAGTAGTCATGCTACACTTGCCAAAGAATAGGGAAGTTCTATGGAATGGAAGTGAGCTCAAGAAGATGACAAACTTAAAAATGCTAACTATTGAAAATGCTGACTTTTCTAGAGGCCCTGAATATCTCCCAAGTAGTTTGAGAGTACTAAAGTGGCGGGGATATCCTACACAGTCTCTGCCACCTGAATATGATCCAAGGAGACTTGTTATGTTAGACTTGTCTATGAGTCGCAATATATTGGGCAAACAACTCAACCTCATGGTATGCACAATTGATATCTTTCTTGAAATATTGTTTGTTTTATATATTTATATTCATAAACAGCATGTGGAAATTTCCAAAACTAATTATTTTTAGTTTGGCTTACCAGAAGTTCGAGTCTTTGAGTGAAATGGTTTTAAGAGGTTGCAGATTCATAAAACAGGCACCTGACATGTCTGGAGCCAAAAATTTAAGAAAGCTTTGTCTTGATAACTGCAAGAATTTAGTAGAAGTTCATAATTCCATCGGACTTCTTGACAAACTAACATGGTTCACCGCTATTGGATGCACCAGTCTAAGGACTCTTCCCCATAGCTTCAAGTTAACATCACTTGAATATCTGTCTCTCAGAAAATGTTCAAGCCTCCAGCGTTTGCCAAACATATCAGAAGAAATGAAACATATGAAAAATCTTGACCTTTGTGGAACTGCTATTGAACAATTGCCATATTCGTTTAGGAAACTCACTGGGCTTAAATATTTAGTACTAGACAAGTGCAAGAGGCTTAATCAGATCCCAATAAATATTTTGATGTTACCAAAACTTGAGAGATTGACAGCTGTAAAATGTGGAAGATATGTAAATTTGATCCTTGGTAAAAGTGAAGAACAAGTAAGATTGGCTTCATCTGAGTCTTTGAGAGATTTTAGGTTAAACTACAATGATTTGACACCCACCAGCTTCCCCAATGTAGAGTTCTTAGTTCTAACTGGCTGTGCTTTCAAAGTTCTTCCTGAATGCATCGGCCAATGTCGCTTTCTAAAGAATCTAGTTTTGGACAACTGCAAGGAGCTTCAAGAAATCAGAGTGGTTCCTCCTAAGATAAAATATCTGTCGGCAATAAACTGCACATTATTGTCTCATGAGTCTCAAAACATGTTGTTGAATCAGGTAAGGTTTCTTACTCTCTTTATTAATCTCACAAGCGCAGTTGTCAAATGCATGTTGTTAACTGTTAAAACTCATGATGTTTTTTCTACATATTGTGGCTAACAGAAATTACATGAGGGTGGGGGAACAGATTTTTCCCTTCCGGGAACAAGGTTACCAGAATGGTTTGATCATTGTACTAGGGGACCATCCCTGTCTTTCTGGTTTCGTAACAAATTTCCAAGGATGACTCTAGCTGTTGTTGGAGTTTTAGACAAGCAAGGCAGTTTTCCCATGTCAAGATTCCACTTTCTCAGCAATGGCATTCAAAAGCTGCATTGCCATTTCACTGTGCAATCAAAATTAATCACATATCATATATTCTTGTCCGATGTGCTGCTAAAGTCCTACAATGGTGGATTGGAAAGTGTGTATGGGGAGGATGGGTGGAACCATGTTGAGGTTTCATACGTGGGACCAAGAGTCTTTTCACATTCATGCAGAACCAAGAAAGGAACCATTAAATGGATGGGGGTTCATGTTCACAAGCAAAAAACAAACATGCAAGATATTCGGTTCATAAATCCTTGGTTTCCGAAAAGAGCACATAGTGAAGTTTCCAAGGCTGATCTGCAAGAAAGTTTTCAGCCTTTGCCCAAAAGAATCCGTGTATCACATCGCAAGGAAATTTGTGAGGCACCACAGATGAAGCAGCATGAAGCTAACAGCAGTTATCACGGTGTATCACAGAGGCTATGGTTGGCAATTTGTAGCATTGCAGCTCCTCTGAATGTTAAAGTACTGATGTGGAATATTTGTCAGGATGATTTGCCAACTTTTGAATACCTTTTCAGGAGAAAGCTTGTACTTAGTCCGCTCTGCCCCATATGTGGAACGGAGCCTGAAACTGTTGAACATGTGTTCCTGTTTTGTCCATGGACACGACCCCTTTGGTTTGGAAGTGATTTCCAGTGGTGCGTTGATGTTAAAGAAGTTCAAAGCTTTCAACTTTGGCTTTGGCATAAACTGATGGAGATTCAAAGGGTATATCCAGAAAATGCCAACCAAATATCGGCTCAGGTAGGAAGCATTTGTTGGTCTATCTGGAAAGGAAGGAATGAATTTGTTCTTGAAGGCAAACCTGTCAATCCTTTGATTTTAAGGTAGCGCCCTATGTGTAAATGATGAGAATAATTTTCACATTTTAAAGGAGATTTGCATGTATTATGTGTTAAACTCAGAGAAGATATTGAGCCAAAAACTGTGTTTCCTCATGCTGGAGAATTTTCATATAAATACACATGATTACAATCTGTCAAACTGATTTTCAGCCCACTAAATAAGCTAAACTGCAATATATATATTAACTACAACTAATTATCCTAATTAACAGAATAACCATTACAAGTAAATATACAATTGCAAATCTTTTTCCATTCATTCTGTTGACATCCCCCCTCAAATTGATGCTGGTGAATCTACAAGCATCAATTTGCCAAGTAGAAAATTGTGACGCTGGCGTGGCAACGATTTAGTGAAAATGTCAGCTATTTAAACAAATGTTGAGACATGTGGTAGATTGATGACTCTACAATCATACGCTTCTCGGATAGAGTGACAACCGACCTCGATGTGTTTCGTCCGTTCATGGTAAACTGGATTTGCTGCAATCTGTATGGCACTGGTGTTATCAACATTCAGTGGAGTTGGTTGTGCTTGAGACAATCCAAGCTCTGTAAGAAGACCACGTAGCCATATTATTTCAGAACAAGCAGCACACATTGCACGATATTCTGCTTCAGTGGATGACTTTGAGACTGAATCTTGTTTCTTACATTTCCATGAAATAGAAGCATTCCCTAGGAACATACGCTAGCCAGTAGTTGATCTCCTAGTGTTTAGACAACCAGCCCAATCAATGTCACTATAAGCTTGGAGTTAAAGAGATGAATTACCAAGAAAGAATAAACCACGACTTGAAATACCAAGGATATATTTAATGATACGCTGCACGGCTGAAAAATGAAAGTGTCGTGGAGATTGCATGAACTTACTAACAGTGTGTACAACAAAAGAAATATCAGGGCGAGTGATGGTCACATAGATGAGACTACCAACTAGTTTTCAATATTGAGTGGGATCGTCAAGAAGCTCTCCTTCATGTCGTCTATATTTAACATTAACTTCCATTGGAGTGTCAACAGGGGTAGCATTGGTGAGTCCCGCTAGCTGGACCAAATCTTGAATATATTTATGCTGGTTTACGAAAATGCCTTCAGGATGGTAATGCACCTCTAAACCAAGAAATAATTGAGATAGCCTAACTCTTTCATGTGAAAATTTAAATGCAGCATTTGTTTGATTTTAGAAATAACATCTTGATCAGAACCAATGACCACAATGTCATCCACATAAACAAGAAGTACGACGATGCCTTTAGGAGTCCGTTGAAGGAAAAGTGATGGATCATACTGACTTTGATTGAAAGAAAAACCAAGAAGAGTGGAGCGAAACTTTTCAAACCATACTCTTAGGACCTGATTCAATCCATATAAAGAGCGTTTCAATTTGCAAACAATATTCGGGGAGAGGGTCGACATACCACAAGGAAGTATGATGTAAACTTCCTCCTTAAGGTCACCAAGGAGGAATGCATTTTTGACATCCATTTGATGTAATGACCAAGATTTGGATGCAGCAAGAGCAAGGATAGTACGCACAATAGTCATCTTGGCAACTAGAGCAAAAGTCTCGTCATAGTCTAGGCCAAACTATTGCTTATTTCCAAGCACAACAAGTCAAGCCTTGTAACGGAATATGGAGCCATCCGAACGCAACTTTATAGAGAACACAAACTTGCTACCTAAGGGTTTAACAGATGGAGGACATGGCACTATATCCCATGTCTGATTTTCTTCCAAGGCGAGAAGTTCGCTTTCAATAGCTTTTTGCCAACATTCATTCTTCATTTCCTGTTTATAAGAAGAAGGAATAGGAATAGATGATAATGTTGTTGTCATGGAACAAATATACCTTTCTAGGGGCTTACCAATGCGTGAACTGCGTCGTAAAGGAGCTGGTTCTGGAGCTTGTACTGGATCAACATCCAAGGAATTATCTTGAAGGGGCCATGGGATTGTGCTAGGTGATGATGAGTGACAGTATTTCGCCTTTGATAGGTCAATAGAGGTCTAGATGATGACTGACATGCAGAAGAATTAGAAAACAATGGCAAAACAGAAATTGGAGAAGAGAACGAGTCATGATGGTTTGCAAAAAAAATATACACTTTCTAGAAAAATGACATTTCGAGAGACCTGAATCCGATGAAGGTTAGGATCATAACATAGAAAGCCCTTTTGATGAGAAGAATAGCCAAGAAAAGCACATTCAACAGATTGTGCAGTGAGCTTGATGTGTTGGTGTGGAGGAAGATGGACATAACATGCACAACCGAAGATACGAAGAGTGGAGTAATCGGGTGGGTGACCAAATAATCGAGTGAAAGGAGATGCATAACTTATAGAAAGAGATGACAATTTGTTTATAAGATGAACTACAGTGCAAAGGGCTTCACACCAAAATCGTGATGGCACATGCGACTCCAGCAAAAGGGTGTGGAAAAGATCTATTAAATGGCTATTTTTCTGTTCAGCTACCCCGTTTTGTTGGGGGGTTGATGGACATAATCTTTGAGATAAAATGCCATTGGATTGCAAGAATTCCTGAAATAAGTGTGATGTGTATTCTCCCATTATCGGAATAAAGAATCTTGGTTTTGGAGGAGAATTGGGCCTGAACATAAGCATAAAAGAATTTGAAAGTGGAAAAGACTTCATCTTTTGAGCGCAGAAAATAGACCCAAGTGAAACGACTATAATCATCAATAAAAGTTACAAAATATTTGTAATGAGCATGAGACATAACTGGTGCCACCCCCAAACATCACTATGGATGATATCAAATGGTTGTGTTTCATGCGAATGATATGTTAGAAAAGGTAGAATTTTACTTTTACCAAGCTTACAAGGAATGCAATCAAAATGAATATTATTAAGAGATGGAGTGTGTTTATTTCCAAGAAAACCATATTTGAGCATGTCATGGAGTACATTTGAGTTGGGATGCCCAAGGCGCTTATGCCACACTTGGTGATCAAGAATAGCAGAATTACAAGAGACGAAAGGCAAAGAAAGACTTGGAGACAACGAGAAATGGATGGGAAAAAGACGTCCAACTTTAGGCCCCTTCGCGATTATCTTCCTTGAGTTTTGATCTAGCACAAGACAACCAGACTGTGAGAATTGAACTCGACAATCATTGTCGACTAATTAACAAACAAAAATGAGATTACTGGTCAAACCAGGAGCAACAAAGACATTTTTTAGAAATGAAGAAATATCACCAGTTTCTGTTATAGGCAATTGATTTCCGCCAGCAGTATGTATCTTGAGATTCCCCAAATATTTTTGTATATTAGTAAGGAATCGAGTATTGTTGGTCCTGTGGTTGGAAGCCCCAAAATCAAAGTATCATGGTGAAGAGGAGTTATCTGAGAATCCCAAAGCAGAAAAAGCTGAAATGATCATTTGTTGAACCATTTCAAGGGTCAAAGTTGGAACATCAGTAGTAGCATTTTGATGGACAAGTGTTGGATTGGCAGAACTGTTGGGAATAGAAGAATCAGTTGTAGTGGTAAAAGCTGTTGTAGGTCGTTGTGGTAGCCTTATTGGGCATTCCTTAATAATGTGACCATCCTTTTTACAGTAGTTGTAGAATTTTTTTGGACAGGTTGAAGCATAGTGGCCAAATCGCTTGCAACTAAAACATTGAATAGTACTCATGTCATGGCGGCGTGACTTCCCTTGTGCCACGTATGCTATTGGAACAGTAGACAATTTTTGTTCTTCAATGATGGACTATGTAAGAAGACGTTGTTCTTCAAGTAACAAATAATTGAGACATACATCCAACGATGGGACATGATCTCTATGCATGAGATTGGACCGGATACCTTCAAAGTCAGATCGCAATTTCATGAGAAATTGGTCACATTTAGTAATATCATGAATTGTTTGTACGTAACTTAGACCTTCAGAAGGCAAGTTTGCATAAACTATATCAGTGTATTCAGCCCAAAGATTCATGAATTGAGAGTAAAAATCAGAGATCGAGAGACTATCATGTTTAAATATAGCGATGTTATGCTCAAGTTGGAATCGGCGAGCTGCATTATTTTGACTATAAATTTTCTTTAGGCTAGACCACATTGTGGCTGCAGTCTTGTAAGGGCGAAGATTCAGGACAATGTTCGAATCAATGGAACCAAGGATACATGCCATGACTTTAGCATCTTTGACTGCCCATTTGGCATTAGCAACCGTATCTTGGTCTTTGTTAGGGGCAGAAGTTCTGCCATCAACATGACCCCACAAATCTTTTCTGGTGACAAAGATTTGGAATTGAAATGCCCAAGCTGAGTAGTTTTTCTCATTAAGGCGAACGAATAAGACATCATATTTTTCGGAAGCCATGGAACTAGGGAAATAGGAAACGAGAAAAAAAACCCAAGAAGAATCGTGAAGCAGGATCGTGAATCTAGGACGAGGCTGGAAAACACAAACTAGGTTTTGGGATCGTAACCTAGATTAATACCATGTTAAACTCAAAGAAGATTGAACCAAAAATTGTGTCTCCTCTTGCTGGAGAATTTTCATATAAATACACATGATTACAATCTGTCAAGCTGATTTTCAGCCCACTAAATAAGCTAAACTGCAATATATACATTAACTACAACTTATTATCCTAATTAACAGAATAACTATTACAAATAAATATATAATTGCAAATCTTTTGTCATCATTCTTTGACATTATGTATCTCTACCTCCTTGTCCTTTTTCCATTTCTTTTCCGTCATCTCTTCGCCACATGCCACGAAGAAGCATGATCATAACAAGCGACTGCCCTCTTTCCATTCATGCTCACATTTCACCACTCTAGCGCAAACGTACACTCTGGCCAACTTTCCTTCACTCTGCATAGTTGCTATACTAATTTCATTTTCTTTTCACTCTCTCACTAGTATAGGGAGTCCTTGTTTTAAGGTATAAGAAAGATTTCTGAAAAAGGGGAACTATATTCTCATGTTTGATGTGTTAGAGAAATATTCCCAAGAGGAAAAGAGAAAAAATAATATATGTCAACACCCAATTTCGTCTGGGTAAGTAAATATTTAAAATAATAAAGAATAAGAGAATAATAATTAATGGTGGGTAAAAAGGGATAAAATAAT